ATCCCCAAGAAAATGTAGTTTTTTACAAAACTATAAATCATATGCATCGATTGCATGTAGGATAATTTATTACTTTAAATCACTGGATCTTTCATGTTAAATCATCAAAAATTACATAAATTATGGCGAAAGTGTACCTGAATTAGATATAGTTAATGCAATAATGAATTTCGCGATATAGTCTTCCAAATTTACACGTAGCCTCTTTTTTCTCTCTATGATGGGATGCAGAAGAGAATAAATAATACGTACGTGTGATTTGAGGACCATAACTGTATTTATATAGCGATGCCCTTTGACCTAGTTCGGTCCATCATAGAATTATGACTTGGGCCCGGTCTCTATACATATGTAAACCCACGCTTTAATTAGATACATTAAAGGGAAGACTACATAACTACAACATTATAAAAACACATTTCATAAATAACAAACTCATTGAAATATTTCAAAAATCAGATGGTAAATATATTTATTAAATATTAAACTATAATATAATATACATTAATTATTTCCACTACATGCCACCTCCCTCACCCCATCCTATCACCGCACTACACCACCTTCCGTTAATCTCTCCACCAGAGATAGCCATCGGCTCCGGCATTCACTCTGGAGACCGCTCAGGTAGCAGCTCCAACGACTGGTTCAGCAACCGTTTCGAAAAACTGCTACGGCGAACGCTCGGAGACTGCTCCGACGACTATTTCACCAATTGTTTCGGCTCCGATGATAGAAAAATCTCTAAAAATTGTGATAGTCGTAGTGGTGCATTGTAGTTATCAGATTTGCAACCGTGTTATGTGTGACCATACATGTATTATATGTGACCAATTCACTGACTTATGTTATCTGAGAATCACTACGACCAACTTTGCTTTCGGTGTGACTAATTGTGACCAAATTTGTATTCAATGTGACTGTCTGTGACCAGATCAATCTCAAGTCACAACTGATCACAATCAATACAAAATTGATCACAAACAGTCACAACCAGATCTTGAATAGAAAAATCAGATCTCCAACCACCACAGCAAATCTGTTTGAAAAAATAATAACCACAAGTATTACTAACATCTTTAACTCAAATTGATGACCATAAATACTACATTCACCTCAAATCCACAACGATTATCACTACCATAACTTCCACCAACCCTTCAAAAAACACCAACCATCACCACCAAACTTCTCTCGTAAAACTCTGGTTAGAGAAGTGGTAGGTAGTCGGAATCTAGAGGGTGGGTGGGGAAGAAGTCGTAGATCTGATTTTTAGGTAAGAGAGTGTCGAACTAATTTTTGGGGAAATAAATAGAGTGTGTGGGTTAAAAATTGATACAAGATCTAGGGTAAATTGATACGAGGTCTGTGACCAAGTTTGTATTTAATGTGACTGTCTGTGACCAGATCAATCTCAAGTCACAATCGGTCACAAT